TGGGGGGGGGGGGGGGGGGGGGGGGGGGGGAAGAGAGCGCTCCCTAATTTAAAAGAAACAGCCAACCCCACCCAAGATCGGATCAACCAGAAAATTGTAAAAATTGGATAGACACAACCCCCTTAATCCCCTTTTGCTGCTAATGTTAGCATTGAGATGTAAACAAGTGAGGCAAAAGCCAAAACATGGCAGCCCTTGTGCACTGGGAGTAAAACATCAGCTTTAGGCACAGGAGCTCTTTCCTGTGCCTGGCTGATCCGACTGGAAAGACTGTGCTGTGGATGGGATCATGCCATGTGCTGGGTCCATCTCTTCAAGGCCTTCACCTCCCTGGAGCTTACCTCCAGCCCAACAGGACACCTCTGAGATGCTAGGGAACATCTAGGTAACACAGGAAAAACAGCAGCATTGCTGCTACTTTATAATAGAATGCTAGAATACCCTGAGTTGGAAGAGACCCACAAGGTTTATCAAAGTCCAGCTCCTGGCCCTGAATAGGACAGCCCCAAGAATCACACCATGGGCCTGAGAGCATTGTCTAAATGCTTCTTGAACTCTTTCAGACTCCATACTGTGACTTTTAAGTCTCCTTATTTGCCATTCTCCAGTGAGTTGTTTTCCCCATAGACTAGTGGGATCTAACAATACCGCTTGCAAAACCAAGCTGTATTGTCTTACAAGGGAGGTGATGTGGCAGAAGTAAATTGCAAAGTGAAGATGCTTCAGGGACAGAGGAAAGAAGAGATGCTTTGGCTTTCACAGCAGACCCTCTTTCACTGAGCACCCTCTACTCTGAACAGCTGCTTGCCATTAGCCGTGCCCATCACTAGAGTCAGCTCCTGCTTTAGTCCCTGCTTCTCTCTGTCACTCTTCTCTCCTTCCCTAGAACACCAATTTGTCTGATTGTTTGCAATTAACTGTTGATTATGGTGCACAGAAGTCCAAAGAGGATAATTAAAAACCGTTCAGCCAGCAGCAGTGGAAAGAGTCTGCTGCTGTAGAAGAGAGAACAGTGCACAGCAAGCACATCCCTGCTTGGGGCAGGACAACAACATCTGGTGAGAACCAACCAGGCTGGTGTGCAGAGGTAGGCAGGGTGCAGGGAGGGCAGAGCAAGCCAGAGGCTGGTAGTGATCTCAGAGAGCTCAGATGAAACACTGCAGCTCACTGCTCCTGCCCCCAGAACGTATAAACAGGGGTCGTTCCCCATCCCATTATACCAACAAGACCAGGAGCCCTGCAAGTACAATGTGCACCTAGGTCTGTAGCAGCAGCATCAAATCCCTGAGCAATTTCATCAGTAACTCTGCTGAATGGGTTGAAGAAACACACTTTTCTACCTTCTCTAGCAGCATCTCTTTTTAGACAAATTGTCAGTGGAAAACCTTTCAAGAAATCACCTTGCTGTGAAATACGCTTTTGTTGCATGAAATAAAGCACACAGGCAAATGCTGCAGCTGATAATACAAAGTGCCCACTCAGTCCTGTGTCAACACAGATCATTTTTATACACAGTAATAGACAACATGGGGTGTTGAGGAGAAGCCTGGGCAGGAACAAAGTACACATGATAAATTTAAACCTTGGAGGACCAAGTGCAGGAAGCAGAGTTTTATTGAGGGACAGGCATTTTGCCTTCCCAGTTATACAAAAAAGAATTACAAGTCAATTAGAATGAAGAAAAGTCTATCCAGCTGTATGCAGTAAGCTGACTCTAAACATAGACCTCAGAGCCTCTCTCAGATGACACCTGTAAACAAGAACAGACTGTGACTATGCAAAGGGAAGTGGGAGGAGGAGTCTGCAGGTAGGACTGCTGTTTATCTCTCATAGTGTCTCAGAAACTAAAAAAAAAAATAGCTTTTCCACTTGAAAAATAAATAGCTTTTCCAAATGAACCATGTATCCAGAAGGATATACTGAACTTGCTCCACCATGGGTAAAACCAAGTCTTGGTACGTAGTCAGCCGAGCCAACACAGATGTGTCAGCTGAAAGGAAGAGATCTTCTTCCTCGGGCCCTTGTCTTTCTTTAGCTCGCGACTTCTCCTGATCTTGTGAGCTAACCCCTCCACTTCCTGACCCCTTGATCCAACTCTTGGTGCTCAGCAAACCCTCCAGTGAACTATATGAATCATTAGCCTGGCAGGATATGATCCTAATTTCTGGGATGGTTTCTGCTATCTTGAGTTAAAGCCACTCAGGGTATGACACACACAAAGTAAGGATGTTAGATGCAGCTGGAAGAAAAAAGTCTTCCTTCAAAGGAAAATAGCACAATGCCAAAGCCTAGTGAAATGTTTCAATACATTGTGAGAATTAAACCTCAAGTAAATCTCAACCTTGACCTGTATTTTGGTGATCATCTTGTACCCCAGATACAACAAGTGTTGCATAAATGGGTGAAAATGAAGAATAAAAAGAATAATTGAACTGCTTTGATTTTCAAAGAGAGGTTCAGGACAGCCAAACTATGGTTATAATGAGCATCTTTTTTTTCCTTCATGGGAGATCTGTAGGGATATAGTTGCTATGAAGATAAGGGCTCAACAAACTGGTAAGGAACCAGGAACTGCAGGAACTGTGCCATGCTGCTACAACAAAGCATAGTTCAAGACACAGATACAGTATTTTCTCTGAGAAAGGTGGAGCTAATTGCAAATTCTTTTGCTTTCACAGAAATCTTCTTCTTGGATTTGTTTCATGAAGCCTAAGCAAAGAAAATGTGAACAGCTGGGATACCAGAGGCAGAGTGAAAAGGAGCAGGAATTCTGTGCAGAAGAAAATGCAAAAATACAAACTGAATGAGGCTTGATACATCAGGGATGAACTCTGCTTTGACTTTTTTTAATAATATCCCACAGCCTGAAGACACAATGCTAGTGCTATAAGAAAATAGCTCTCCTCTGAAGCCTGATGTCTCAAAAGAATCAAGACTTAAAGTGCCATTAGATATTTGTTTAAGAACTAATACATTTAGCAGCTGTAAAACCTGACTATAATGTCTTGCTGTTTGTCCACTAAATCACATTATGCTGTAGCGGTGGGATGTGTACTCTGCTTAGCTGTCCTACCTGTCCCCAAAACTACAGTTTTCTCCCTGAATGTGCCACTAGCATTGTATGGTTCTTGTTCTAGACCTTGCATTTAGGGCTGGTCAAGAAAGATGTGAGAAACATTTTTGAAAGATCTGACCTTCTGCCAGGTGGCTCAAGAGCAACACAGGCAAGACCTGAACTGAGATTAAAAAGGAACAGATTTTATTTTGTAAGAATTCAAGAAGCAAAGGGTAACTCCTGAAACACAGATCTGTGGGACACTTGTTGATTCCAGTGACACAATGCCTTGCCCACAGTTTTACTGATGTCCGCACTATCGGATGATGGACAGGTCTAAAGGTGATGAGAGTTTTCTCATGACTGGTGCTGAAAGCAGGCTGCTTATGTTTCATTTACAATTTCAGAAGGAGCCTTGCTCTCTTGAACCTAGTCTGCTTTGGTCCGTGGATCCTATCCAATAGGAAGTTTCATCAAAACTTGATTACTCACTGAATCTTTGTTTGAGTGGACTGCTAAGTCCTGGCTAAGTCCCTGACATTCAGGCTACTAAAATGTGACGCCTTGAAGCCTCAAGTCTTCATGTCAAGCATCTAATTTACCTCGGCTTTCATTCCATTCAGAGAAGCTGTTCTCAGTGTTTACAAAGTCATCCTTACAGCCCAGTCTAGCTTTTCTGCTGAGCCTCATAGCCCAGTGACAATTTTAAAGCTTTCTCCACTGCTGTGGATGTGCCAGACCCAGAACTGACAATCCTCAGAATTCAAATCAATAAATCGTGCCCCAAAGTTGTGAGTTTTGTCCAAAAGTTGGGAGAACAGATAGATTACTTAGGGACAATTTCAGTTTCCCTGAGTCTGTATTTCCCTATGAGTAGTTGGCTGGAGATCTGGGCTTTTTAGAAAGAAGGAAAGAACAAAGACATTAATTCCTTGCTCCAGGAGACAGACCTGCAAGACATCAGAGATCCGTAAAATCCTGCGCTGGCAACACCCCCAGCCCCGGGGTCTCTAAAGTGCCACTGCGTGAAACCAGCCATCATATCTCATCAGCACAGAGCAAATACAAAGTTTATTGTGTAATCATTGTTTCTGGAAGAATTATCTATTCTTTATCTCTGTGAGAGCGTGA